AGTTTGGAATAAGCAGCCATCAACTTGATTTAAGATGGATTGGATGGAAGAGGAGGCATGCTTGCTTAGTCTTATTGCAGTTTTGCAATAATACGGAAATAATTTCTGAATGACGAAGCAGAATCGTACGTTCTAATATTAACCCTGTTGAAACAATTGAAATGATAGCCGTATTGTTGAAGCAAAAAGGAGATGGAGTTTGTTTTTGACATTCTTCTTTACACAAAGCATTGGCGCCAATTGTTCCTGTTGAGGAAAAAGAAATTTCGTTGATTGAAAGAAAAGTTTCCTATTGGAGCCATGCACTGCATAATTTACCTTATAAAGATTATTTTATTCATGAAAAGAAAAAAAAAAGAAAGGTGTTTAAAAAAGGGGGTGGGTGGGGGATGCCAAACATTTAACATATGATCTACACAACCAAACAGGTGTTTTTGTAGATCCTAAACTCCTAGATTAAACAAAAATATTTAAGAAAAAAGAAACACTTCTCCGAGTTTCGTTTTAACAAAATGTAAAAAAAAAAAAAAAAAAAAAAATAAATGAAAATTTTAAATTCCTGACAAAAGAAACTGTTTCAAATCGTGTAAAAAATGAAAAAAAAAAACATCCCCAAAACAAAAAATGACGTTCAATTTAAAAAAAAAAAAAATAAACATTGGGAGGCGGTGGAACTTGGTGTTATGTATATAAATTACCGTGGCTAACCTGGATTTATCAATTCGACTGGGCATCTTCGGCTGGTGTTTGTTGTGGGGGTCCTTTTGAGGTGCTCTGTAACCAGGGATAGATTGATTGTTTGAGAGAGGTCAGGAAGAAAAAGCACTTTCCTCAGGGTCAGGAGTTGAAGGGGTATTTGATGTATGTGGGGGAGATGAAGAGGTTTTATTGTGAATTCTTGATTATTTAAAGGAAAAGTCGGGGATGATAAATTGTCAAAATGATAGTAATGAAGTGAAACCCATGTGGTAGTTGCTGCTGCTGCTTGTTCTTCACGCCACAACAACGGACGAAAAGTGTGTGTTGGAATCAATCAGATGATTTTTTTGGGGGGGGGGGGAGATGGAAGGAACAAAAACAAAACAAAAAAAAAAAACGAAAAGAACCCAACCAAGTTTTATTTATTTAAAAAAAAAAAAAAAAAAATTAAGTTAGAAATTGAAAGTTGTAAAAATTTAGCATTTTGTTTATTGAATAAAATTTAGTTTAAAATTTCACGGCATAAATAATTAAAAAAGTAGTGTATTAAGAATAAAAACAAAAAAAAACATTCACTATTTTTTTTACCACCCCCCCATCACAATCCAAATTTTGACAACTTCAAAAAATTTGATTTTTAAGAAAGTTTTAACATTAATGGTTTAAAAATAAAATGAAAAAAAGGAACAGAAAGAAAACACACTCACTCGGAGGAGCCACCCATGGGCCCATGTGAGAACATTTTCTGTGGGACCGATTTTTATTGTGGATAAAATTTCCAAATTATTGATGGAAACAAAAACCACTCAAAGGAAATATTTCTCTGTTAAACTATTTAGTTTCTAATAAAAAAAAAATAAAATAAAATAAAAAATAAACAATCGAAATATTTGGATTTTGTAAAATTTGAAAAAAAAAAAAAAGAGTCCCCAATACAACTTACTTCAAATTAACTGCAACACTACAACTACTAACAGAATTATTTAAAAACAAAATGTCACATAAATACCAGACGAAATAAACACCTGAGTATATTAAACATAAGTTGAAGGTATAAAAAGAGACAAGACAACTTAATTGGCTTCTCATTGTCTAGTTCTTTAACGAAATTTATCACTATTTACTACAAAATCTCAGGCTTTAGTAGTAAAAATGGCGTGCGTGATTCGTTTCCCCTCCTCATCCTTCGTCTTATCAGCGTTGCCTTTTTCTTTCTTCTTTACCGCTCCCTTGTTAAGTTTCTTACTCACTCGCTATGTTTATCTTTCTAGACTCTCCACTCTCCCCGAATGAGCATTGCTGGCTTCCTTCCCGCGCAACCGCCCCCTCCCTCTCTAACATCTCGTCTCGCTTTTGTTCCCCCTCCCTCTACGAAAAGCTGCCTATCGCCCTCGGCACCTCGTTACCCCCGACTCCGTCGTTACTCATCTACCTTTCTCTTTCCGAAGCGACCGCACCGTCTCCCCCTCCGTCTTTGACATCACGTAATTTCTCAGCCCTCCCCCTCGCTACATTCACATACAGACAGCTGACTGTAATCGCTATCTAATAACAAAAAAAAAGGAAAAAGAAACGAAAACAAAAAACAAACCCAGCCTTCCACGCGGAAATCCAACAGTTTTCAAATGGATAAAACAACTCCAATGTCCTTATCGGACCCTAGACTTATCAGCTGGGGGGTCGATAATAATGAAAATGGGACGGAAAGTTTGGAAAAACATGATTTTAGCCGCGACGGTCGTTCGATCGGAGCCCCTCCCCGCCATGCTGTTTAGTAAAAATACACCATGCACACAAACACATGCCTCTAGATTTCCAGCTTTATTTGTTTATATATTCTTTCAGAGACGATCCGAATGACGGCTTTTTTATTCTTCTCTCTTTAGGTTTTCAATAAAAAAAGAATCAAAAATCACAATAATAAAAAAAAAAAATGGTCGAAAATCCAGGAAAAAAAATATTCGTTTCTAGGACTCGGTTTTAAAACAACACACGGCCACACGCATTTACGAGAATGGCCACAAAATGGGTGATCAATTCATCACATCCAAACAATTATAAATTGATCACCGACTTTGTGGCCACGCTATCTAAACAACAGCATGATGACAAAGATACCCATGAAAATGGAATAAAGAAACAAATATTAAATCAATCAGATAAAATTAAAGAAAATAACGTTTTAGACGAAACAGTATTGTGAGAAGTGATAAATTTTTTTAACAATATTTAATAATATAATATATAAATAAATAAATAAATAAATAAATAAATAAAGTGTAAATATAAACAAAGTTGTGTTTAACAGAACTGCTTTTTAACATGAATGATTCCAGCATGGATCGAACCCTTATCCTAAGTTTACTTTATTTCTTTTTTAAAAAAATAAAGCTATGAATACTATATATGTTTATTAATTGAATGGTTCCTACCTGCTCAGTCCGACGGGAATTTCTTCTTGTCTTACACGGTATTCCTGCATTATCCGCTTCCTTTCGGTCGTACGAGGGTAAACAGACATTATCTGGGGGTCTTTTGGGGGTATTTGTGTTTGCTGGACTGTCAATAATATCGGGTAAATTTGTCAATGGTCTGGTGGGGTAGCCGAAAACAAAACGACCAGATGACTACATGGATGGATAGATCCTTGCCACACTTCTTTTCTTTTTTTTTTTTTACTCACACCATACACAATGTCCAACCGTTTTGTAAAACGGAAAGCACGTCTCTCGGCTAAAAGATGTCGCCCACGGTGACCAAAGATCCACGAGCGAACGATAGAAAAATCCGCAATACGCTAATAAAGTGTAAGTTTGATTTCTATACAGATATTTTGTCGGATATCTGGTTGGAAGCACACGCCATTACACACGCCACTATAGTATAACACTACAACACAGCCAGTAGTCGTAGTAGTAGGTGGCGCCCCTCCCCCTCAGGACGTAAAGGTTATAAAGAGAGGGGGAAACACTTTAGTGTGAGAGGAAAGAAGAGCCATCGGGAGGGAGATAATGGTAAGATTAAAGACAGAGAAGAGAATATGGCGCTTCCCTTTCTTCCTCTCTTTGTGACCATGTGTACGGGAGTGGGTGCGTGTGCGTCTAGAATGAGTAGGAATTGGCGGGAAACATACGTGCACCTATTCACATTTTGGAAATAGTTCCAGCTGCCCTACCATTAGCTCCTTTTTTTCTCTCTCCTGTCCTCTCTTAGTTCTATTAGTCTTTCCTTCTCTGCGCGGTTTCCTCCTCTCTATGCTCTATTAAACGCTTTAATCTTTCTCTCGTCTATTCTCCTCCCCTTCTCTGGTTGATTCTTTTATGTCTCTCCTCGTTTCAAAAAAGATAGACAGAAAAAGAAGCTTTCCCATTTAAAACACTTATGCGCTCTTTTCTCTCGCTCTCTGTACCCACTCTCTAATTAACCGTATCTTTTCCCCCTTGCTTTTTTTTTTGTCTTTTACGGCTTATTCCCATCTGTAAATGTCTGAGTAGGTTTATTCCAATTTTGCCTTGAAACTGTTGCATTCTTTGCAAGTTTAAATCTTTTCTTATTTCTATTTCAATAAAGCCGAACTGATTTCCCTCCGTTTCTATTCTTTAGTTTATAATTCGTTAAAAAGTAATTCAAAAAGCAACAAACAAACATATATAATCGAAAGTAAGAAAAATATTTCCTTTCCTCTAAACCATTTTTGGGGCGAATTACTTTAGTTTGTAAATCTTTTTCCTTAATTTTCAACAATTTTGCCGTTTGATGACTTGCAAAACATGAGGGAATCATTTCTATCGCGTAGTAACACAATCTTCGCAGGGATGAGGTGTGGGAGACGCGGGAAACTAAAAATAAACAAATCAACAGCTGTTGACGAAGCTGCAAATAGCGTGTACGTATGGAGAATTAAAGGTTAGCTTCGGTTATCGATAGCCAGTAAAATGCGACTGTTTCGAAAATTGCTGAAAACCGGATTCGGGAAAAGTGATAGACGTATTTGAGTTTATTTTTCTAAGGTTTCTAGAATTTTTATCCGTTTCCGATAAATTTCAAACCAAACCGTCTGCATCATTTGTTTCCATTTTCTCCCAACCTATACTATGTCTGGAATGTAGAACGTTCGTGGCTTTTCCTTATACGGGGAATCATCAATCAGCTGATTAAATGCTGCACTCTGATTGGCTGGTTGCGCCTCCTCGTGACCTGGAAAACATTTTAAATGTGATGCGAGGAGCAGCGTCTATCGTGGTAGCCATGGACACCTAAAGGGAAGTAATGGCTGTTTGGGTGAGACAGGGTAAAAACCCATGTGTGTGGCTTCTTTTTTCTTCTTTCCCTTCTTTTTTCCTTTCTTTAATGGAAGAAGCAGTGAAGGGTTCCTTTATTTTTATGAACCTTTTTTTTTTCTTTTCTTTTTGTGGGCGACGAGGCCGACCTGTAGGTTGAAAAGAAAAGCCCTGGTTACTTGTGCTTGATGACCAAGAAGTGAGAGAAAGAAAGAAAGACCTTATCACATGTGGCACAGAGCGTGAAAGACGACGTTTCTTTCACAATGAATTGTTGATAGTTTATAAAATAAAGTTAAATTCAAAACTGATTCCTTCCCATCCCAACCGCGAATCATTTACAGAAACACACATAATTCAGATTTTTCAAATAGTAAGCAATAAATTTGAAAAAAAAAAGGTACATTTAACGAGAAACAATTATTTGCTTAGCTTATCTCTGTTCATTATCTATCTATCCCAGTACGTTCATATCTCTGTCTGTCTATCTATCTGGTCTGTTTCTATTCAGATTATCTATCTATCTATCTATCTATCTATCTATCTATCTATCTATCTATCTATCTATCTATCTCAGTCTATCTATCTATCTATCTATCTATCTATCTCAGTCTGTTCATATCTATCTATCTATCTATCTATCATCCATCCATCTATCTATCAGTCTGTCATCCATCCATCTCTATCTATCTCTATCTATCTATCTCATCTATCATATCTATCTATCTATCTATCCCAGTCTGTTCACATATCTATCTATCTCAGTCTGTTCATATCTGTCTATCTATCTATCTATCTATCTATCTATCATCTATCCATCTGTCCATCTATCTATCTATCTCAGTCTGTTCATATCATCTGTCTATCTATCTATCTATCTATCTATCTATCTATCTATCTATCTATCTCAGTCTGTTCATATCTATCTATCTGGTCTCTATCTATTCATCTATCTCAGTCTGTTCATATCATCTATCTGGTCTCTTTCTATTCAAATTATCTATCTATCTATCTATCTATCTATCTATCTATCTATCTATCTATCTATCTATCTATCTATCTATTTCGAGGTGAAATTGAAAAATTACGCAACTCTTGAGCCAACCTTCAATAAGCAATGAACGTTATTATATCTAATATTTATAATTATGGGTAGTTTTGAATAAAATCTCCGACCCGTCCAAAATCTGACCCTAACCTCATAGATACAGAAAATGCGATACCTAAAGTTTAAAATGAATTTTTAGAAATGAAAAAGTCAATTACAATCAAACTTATTAGCAATGACCTTTGCAAAAGACTTTCAATTTATAACCTTGTGCCAGAATAAACTAAATATTGGCAAGAGTGCTGATAATTCATTTTTCTACCAAATTTGCAAACAGATTTCTTCTTTCATTTCTTTATTACAGGCTGCGATGGGTAAATTGTCGCCAAATTTTTAGAGACACCGCGAGAAAAAGGTACCATGATGCAATTCATTTTGCCAGAAATTTAGAAACAGTATGCTGTACTGCTTGACATTCGCGCCGGAAGCTTCAATATAAAAATTTCAGAGTATTTGTGTGTCAATCTGAGAACATTGTAAAGGATTCAGAAAGAGTTGGATGAGTCTAACGGTGATTACGAAGGTACGACAGCTCGGAAAACTCACTCTGATCGTTCTGATAAGAAAAGAACTCGAATTTGTTGGTGAGAGCCTCAGATTCAACACGGGGGCCTACATCAAGTGCCTTGAGGAAGTAGTGATACCCTAATTCAAGAGGGTGGCTGCTGGAAGACCCTATGTTTGGCAAGAGGACTCTGCACCATGCCACACAATCAGGAGAGCCCAGTCATGGCTGTCAAACAATTTCTACGACCGCATCACCTCTTACATCTAGCCATCTAATTTCCTAGACGGCAACCCCCTTGATTATTACGTGTGAGGCGCAGTTCAGTGAGAGAGCAACAAAACTCCTCGTAACACCAAAGGATTAGGACAGCCTTCACCAACTTAAACAAGGAGACCACCCAGAAGAGTTGCCGGAGATTTTGAAGTCATCTGGCGATTTTATTGAATAAATTTACTCTTTATTATTTTAAGATATTTTTGTGTAATTTTGGTAAATATATCTGTTAAAATGAGATGTCAGTGTTATTTTCATTTTTGCGTCATTTAGACAATTTATCCATCGCACCCTATATTTATCCTTGTGCCAACCTAATATAAGACCAATTAATTCATAAAAAGATTTAAAATATAAATTACAGTTTTTATTCTTACCAGTTCGATATTTGTTCAATTTAAAATATAGAAGGAATCATAAAAATGTCTTCAAAGGGCCAGCTTATACTTTTTTCCTGTTATCCAGGGGTTTTTCTCAGATATAAAGGGAAATCAACCCACGCAACGCAATGTGCATTTCAATTTCATTCGAATCATATATGTAATTTCTAACGCTTTACATGGAGGGTTGGAGCGAAGAGAGGAGAAACGAAGTCCGGGGTAGAGCGACATCTGGGGTAGAACGTCTTCACATGCATTCGTTTCAATCGAGACTGTCACTCCCATGTGGGCCTGTACAGCCATAACAGATGCTGCACTGGGATCAGGCATAACTCTTTGGTGCGCAGATCCAAGGTTTCTCGAGATGAGTGTGAGCAAAATATTGTGCTGTATTTCAAGACTAATTTAAATTGGCTGGAAGGAATTTTGTTTCGAAATCGCTAAAAATTCTAATTTTAGCGCCATTTTTAACCATCTTTCATCGCAATGTAATTCTCTTTGTTCAAAAATCTTTCAAAAATAAAATATACTTTTCTGAAAATTTATTTGGGGAATATTAGCTGATTTAAGGTCTAATTAATCTGATTTGAAAGAAATATTACTTACTTTAAGATTAAACTATCGCAGAAATGCATTTCTTAACATGGCAGTAAGGTGGTGACAGGTTGACTGACAGAAATTTATCTACGGTGGACATATCAGTAAAATTGTATTTGAGGAATATAACGTGAGCGCCTTTTTTATATCATTTTGAACTACCAGTAATCTTAAAAATTAAAGAAAATATTCTTAATCTGATGTTCGACTGAATTTTAGGTACTTTAAATTTACTATAGTTATCGCTCTTATTTTCTGATAACGTGTATGGACGCCCGTATTTACAAACATCGGCACGTTTACACACACACACACAAACAAAATCAAAATTCTTTTTAAAATATTGGGGTTCGCTGAATTGTATTAAGCTTTTTTATTTATAATTAGTAAATATAGTTTTTACTTAATAATAATATAACCTAACCGGTCCAAATTAAAACAGAAATGTAAAAAATGTAAAACTTTATAAAAGTATCCATAGTATATCTTATTCACAAATGCAATTAAAAGTTTTTTCTAATTAAATGTCTTAGTTTTATTGCATTTTTTTATTTTATGATTTAGAGTAGATTTTCGCTAACGGGGGGAGGGGGGCCTGTTTGGCAAAAAAAAAATTGATGATTTAAATTCTCCAAGGAGTTCTGTGCATAGCTAATATTAAGCGGTACAAAAATTAATTTCTCTAAATTTTCTAAAAATTTTTTACCAAGATTTTCTAAAAAAAGGAAACATTTCTAAAATAATTTCCTTTATTTGTAAATAAGTCCTGGAAGTTTAATTAAAATCCGACAATTAATTGATTTTTGCAAGAATTTCCAAATCAATGTATTCTTCACCACTAAAAAGTCGATAAAATTTTCTATACTAATCTTTGGTTAATTCCCACCCACCGCTGACGCAAAAAAAAAGAAAAAAAAGAAAAAAGAAAAAGAAAAAAAAAAAGAAGATTTTTAACTAAAATGTGAAACGTTTTTAAAAAGGATAAAAATATAATTTAATAACTAAAAAATCGTTTGGTCTTATCCTCTTCATAACATAATGATTTTGACGATTGTTTTTATTAAGTTTGAGGCATTTTTTCCATTATGGTAAGCTCATTTTTAGCGAATCAATGGGGGTATTTACTCTTAAGTTATAACAAACACATCATTTAAACATATTTTACAAAATGGTCAACTTCAAACAAAATAAAAAGTATATTTCTTATTAAATATTATTAATGAAACACAATATTCCAACTAGGAATATTTAGATTATTTCTGCTATGTATCTAGAGATTTTTGATAAAATCCAAAGAAGAATCTTTAATATTATCAGTCTTGACCTGGCATCTCGACTCCCGTCTCTTTCCCAACGCCGTAACATAGCTTCACTCTGCCTTTTCCATAAATACTTTCATGGTAATTGTTCAGATGAACTTTCCTCTATGGTACGTAGACTTTATGAATTAAGTGCAGTACTAGATTGGCGGCAAGGTCTCATCATTTTACAGTTGAAATGACTAGATGTAGCTGTAAATTCTATGCTAACAGTTTCTTTTCTCACACTTCTCGTTTGTGGGACTCTCTTCCGACATCTTGTTTCTCAGTCAACTTTGATGTTCAAAAATTTAAAATTTCGAACGCTCTAAAAAGGAATAAAAATATAATTTAATAACCCAAAAATCGGTTGGTTTGTCCTCTTCTTGATAAGAACATAAAGATTTTGGCGACAAAGCATTGTTAATTTGGGGGCATGTTTTTATCATGGCTGGCTTTTTTTTTTTAAAAAAAGAAAAGAAATTACAACTCGTGTTTCTTTCATTCTGTTCTTGTCGCTTATTTTCTTAACTCTGAAGTTTTTATTCAATTAAAGTTACGTAATTTCGTTTCGAATAAAGGATATGATGCTACTTTTGGGATTCGAACCTGCAACCCTTATCTCCACGATTCTGCCATATTGACAAGCACCTTAACATTTATCCGACCCTGAATGACAAAAGGTACAAATCTCACTACACAATAATTTCTAATTTTCTAATATACGCTGCATATATAAGGATCGTAGAATGACGATCTTGGACCAACGATAAAAAAAAAAAAAAAAAAAAATTCGGATAATATTGCAACTAATAGTAACGATCGTAGGAAGACGACCTGGAAGTGGCAATAAAAAAATAAGAGAAATATAATGAAAGAAATACCAGTAAAAATGAATAATAAGTGAAAATGTTTTATAAAAGCAATTCTGATAATAGTGTAACTAAGAGTAGCGATCGTAGAAAGACGATCTGAGAGTGGTGGTAAAAATCAATAGGGCTAAAATGAAAGAAACACTTGTAAAAACTAAAAATGCAATAAATATTAGTCGTAAAGAAAAATACAATCATTTTTGTTTATTGAAGTTGTTCATGTTCATTCAGAAAAGGCCTGAATCCACATTTCTCTGAACCTTGTCACTAAAACCTGATTTCGATTTGCACTCCGGTCATTCTTTAGAAAGTGTGTTCATTTTTTTTGTTTTACCTACAGCTGAAGGGAAAAGAGACGTATCCTTCCTTTTCCCAAAGGCATTACTGCGAAGTGAATTCCAAACTACATCAGAATTCGGCTCGCTATTTTCTGTGTTGTTAATCGTTACACAACCCGAACCCTCCCCAACATAGGAGATGCTATATCCATTTTCCTCCTACCGGGTATCTTCACTAATATGTCTCGTCATTGGCATGTAACAGTGATTGATAGAGTGACTGTATGAACATTTGGTTAAATCGGTAACGACGCTGTCACGGTAAGACAGTCTCTCAGCGATAGGGAAGGAGAGTTTAAATCCCGCTAAAAACTTATTAAGTGGTTAACATTAATATTATTAAAACGATCATAGAATGACGGTCTGGGAGTTGCGAGAGAATAGAAATGAAATAAGATTAAATAAATATTTTAATAAAAAATAAGATTACGATCTATTTTTATACGGCTAATACTAGGGAAAGTCCTACAATGTATTTTTTTTTTATAATTCATCTTTATTCAAGTTGTACCTGGAAAATTAGGTTTGGTTTGAAAAGTTAGAATGCTTGTCTTCGTTGGTAGTTACATAATTAAAAGAAAAAAACAAATGATTTATTTTATGGAAATATTTTCATAAAATAAATCATTCATTAGAACTACAATTTTTTTTCTTATAATTGGTTTGTTTTGTTTTACGGCATAGCAACACCTCAATGGGTTATTTAATGCCGACAAGATTTTTAT